AGTCAGTTAAGCATCTGCCTTTGACTGAGGTCATGATCTCTGGGTCTTGGGACCAAGTCCCATATAGGGCTCTCTGCTCAACAGGGAGCCTGCTTCTCACTCTCCCTTTTCCCCTCCCCCTGCTTGTGCACTCGATCTCTCTAAAATAAATAAAATATTTAAAAAAAAATAAGAATAAGGTGTCAGAGGTAAACTGTGTGGATTCAGAACTTGGCTGAGGGGGTTGGGGATAGGGCCTCCTTCCAGTTTAAGTGAGACTGAACTGGTTTGGTGCCTCCAACACTGAACCAGCAGCTGAGAACCACCTGTTAGGAGTCAGAGCTAAGATACTTAGGACATCAATGTTAAAGGTCAAGGAAATATCCCTGGACTGGCCAGACCGTGCTGGTCACCAGTGGGCGGGCACCAGCAGCCCACACTAATGGGCACTTCCCCTTCAGTTCCCAGCCCTCTGCCATCTGCAGCTGGTGCCAGCCTCGGCCCTGCCCTGTGGGGCCCGACTATCTCTATTTTAGAGGGGACTCAGAGACTGGCTGTGAAGGGTGAGCCAGAGATAAGGCCAGGCTCGGTGTCTGAACCCATCCCTTGTGTGGCAGAAGGGAGGGTTACCCTAGCTTTGGGCGTTGTGCAGAAACCTCCAGGGGAGCGGCACTTTGTACCTGAATGCGAAGTGCCAGGGTCCATCCTGCTCTTGGTGCGTGAGCCCCTCTAACCCATACACTAAAGTTCTCTGGGACAAAACAGCCCTTTGCCCTGGATGACTGGGGAACCACATCCTTTCCAGTGACCACTATGATATATTTTGGACAGAGATGACTCCTAAAATTCAGGACTCGCCAGTTTTGGTCCCATTTCCCAGGAGGTGGCTGGCCCCTTGAGAGTCATGAGGTCCCTTAAGGTCACACCAGAATGTTCTGGGCCACAGGCCGCGTCCTGGATACCAGCAGGGATGTGGGCTGGAGTGGGCAGCCACAGATGGGGATGCTGAGCCCTGGAATGGCCCAGCTGTTCAGGAACCAAATAGCGGAGCTGTTGTTGACCCAACAGGGTTTTGTTTTTGAAGGTGCATCTCAAGAAAGAAGAAAGAAAAGCGACATGGGCTGATGAGATTTGCCTAGACGGAGGATAGTTTCTATGGTTTGGTTGGTGTTTCCGTTTTGTTTTGTGTTTGGAACTAAGAACTCAGACAAATACAGTCCAGCAGCTGCGGATGCCCGATGCCCGCAGGCCTCTCCCTTCAGCTTTTGTGATGGCCGTGTCCCTTGTTTTGTCAACGCCGCTGGCTGCCTCCGCCCTGTCCAGAAAGAGGCTTTTGCCTGGGTCAGCCTGGCTTCCAGGGGTTCCAGCCAGATCCTGTATCCAGAGCCCAGCTCCATCCCCTTTCAGTGATCGGTGTCCAGAGGGCTCCTTTCTAAGTGGAGGTGGTGCCCCAGCAGCTGGCTGAGCCTGGACCTTTGGGGGCCACCAGGTCGGAAGCAGCTGAACAAACCTTGTCCTGATGAACATCCAGTTCTATCTCCCGAGAGCCATGGGGTAGGGCACCTCGCGCTGTGGGGAGGGCCACAGGAGGGGTCCACGCCATGGAGACCCCACACAGGCAGTGCACTTGGCTGAAAACATGGAGGGAGGGGGAGGAGGCAGGTCCCCACTTGTTTCAGCTGTTGAGCCGGTGCTCTGTACGGGGACGTGGCAGGGCGGCATGGTCCCCACCCCTGGGAGTTTGGCTTGTGCTGGAAAGACAGAACCCAATGTGGCCTCAGAGCCACGGAGCTCCTGCAGTGCATCTACCTCCTCCTGCCCTCGGCTGGCCCTTGGCCCGACTGCTCGACAGCACATGGTCGGGGGGGCCGCCCGCCCAGCCAGCCCTCGCAGGAAGCCTCTTGCTGAGTAGAGCCTTGCTGGGGTCGTGTCCAGGGCTTAGAGGCTGAGCAGCTGCTCCCCCTCCCAATCCCAGCAGTCAAGCCTCGGGTGGATTTCAGCCCCTGGCAGCTGGCACATTAGGACACGTCCTTCCTGGGGACCCTCCCGGAAACACCTGCGGTCTCACAGGAACCGGGCACTAACGATGCCAGGGCAGTCAGTGCGGGTGACCTTGAAGGCTTGTCCAGGCACTTAACTTGGGCTGGTTGAGTGGTCAGGACTGAGCATCGGGGCCCCTAGACCTTTGGGTGTTATGCCCGATTTTTCACATCCGAGAGACCACCAAAGAGCCAAGCACCGATGCAGTCACACGAGGCTTTATTTGACAAGCTTAAGCTTGGGCCCAAGTATACCCGACACAGCAGAGTAGGGACTTGGACCCCAAGCCAGATTACAGTCAGAGTTTTTAAAAGCAGAGTAGGGGTGGACTCAGCGGTGGGTGAGGACAAAGGGGGTGTTCAGAAGGGCTATCAGACAGATATTATTTATTTATTTATTTATTTATTTTATTTGAAAACAGGCGCCAGATGAACACTTAGGGTTGCTCACCGGAGCAGGATGTCTCCCGTAGTCTGGGGGCCAGATTATTAGCTGCAGTTCTGTCGCTTTGCTTCTGTCATGGGCACGTCTAGCTTTTGTGTGGGAAGAGTGGGCGCAGGCTTCGTTTTACTGCCTGGCAGTTAGAAGATAAAGAAGTACCAGTGTGATGGGCAGCACGCCGGCCAGAGGGAATGCTGCTGTATATGTCAGGATATTGAAGGCCTGGTTACTATCAAGCCAAGGCCGTTTTTCCCTTTAATGAGGCACTAGCATGAAGACAATTGGGAGTTTCCTGGTGGAATGTCAGATTCTTGCTATCAAGCGTCCTTGTTAGTGAGGATTTGGGTTTAGAGGAAATTTAACTTTATTTACTTTTCCTTCTACCTCAGCCTCCTTCAGTTTTGTTTATGGAGGGGAGGATGACATTAGGGCATAAGAAACTGGGTTATTTGTCTCTGGAAATTGGGCTAGACTCGAGGTGGGTATAGCCTTGTTTTTCTTGGCCTCCACACGGGCATTGCCAGGACTCTGTCGGTGCACACTCAGAGAACCGGTTTCTAGAGTAAACTCAGGTTGGTAGGTGACGACCAGCCTCTCCAGGGTCCCGCCACTAGCAACATTTGTTATGAAAAAGTTTGAACATGCAGAGAAGTTGAGTGTGTGGGCACTAAGTTCATGCATTGTGTGAATAGCATTGTGTCCTGTTTGCTTCTGAAGTAGTTGGATTCTTTTGAGCCATTTATTTTTTTTTAAATAGTCTTTATTTTTTTTTTAAGATTTTATTTATTTGACAGACAGAGATCACAAGTAGTAGGCAGAGAGGCAGACAGAGAGAGGAGGAAGCAGGCTCCCTGTGGAGCAGAGAGCCCGATGTGGGGCTCG